GTGTGTGTGTGTGTGTGTGTGTGTGTGTGTGTGTGTGTGTGTGTGTGAGAGCCTATGATCAGCGCAGCTCGACACACACTCTCAATGTCAAACCTCAATGTCATCTCTCCGTATCAGCGCTGCACACCTCTTACCGCCCTCGCTAATATGCTAATGCTAAAAAGCTAAATGATATTAGGTAGGCTTCTGAGGCCGTCCTACCCGTCGCTCCGGGCTAATATGCTAATGCTAACAGGTAATCTGATCACGCAGACTTTGAAGCAGCCCACTGGTGTGTGTGTGTGTGTGTGTGTGTGTGTGCGCGTGCGCGTGTGTGTTCAGGGAGTTGGAACGTTTTAGGCCACAGGACACAGCTGCTGAGAAAAAAAAATAAAAAAATCCACCTGCTTCTTTTTACTATTTAACAGTTTGAGTTTAAAACTAGATATAACTATATATCGAACACTACTGATGGTTAGTGAGCTGCAGATTTATTTATATTTTGAAAAAGTGGATGCCACTCATTGCAACCAACGGACACGAATTGGTTACCAATTTCTGAAAAAGGTTGCTAATGACCCCTTACTGTTGAGCCTAATAGTGAGACCACTGATTTAACTTTCATTGTTTCTGTGCAAACATGTGTCTTGCTGCTGTTTCAGGCTCCGCCTCCTCAGAGGTCCTTTGTGGCCGTCATTACTTTACGATCCATTCTGAACCGGATCGTATTCATTCTGAATCGGTTTTGTTGAAGTAGCTATAGACTATTTCTTTGCTTTAACTTATCATTATAAAGTAAATGTTAATGTTGGTTCCCTATAAGCCACCGGTTAAAATCTCCATTTACGGCACAAAGGAAGTATGTCAACCATTGAGCACCCAAAACAGGAAGAGGGTTCTGTTTTCCCTGTTAGCTATCGGCAGCCATCCCCAGTTTACTTCCAGTTACTATCACCAGTTGTCAAACGGTGGAAAAAAGTAATGACGGTGTCTCCTGTGTCTGACTCATTTGTTTAGGAAAATGGCTCACAAGATGTTTCTCGTTTCTGAAAATAGTGTGACGTCCTAAAAAACACAGAATTGCTACTGGAGGACGTGGTGTGGACGGACGGGTCAACAAAGCATGTGACTTGAGAGACAGCGGTTTGTTTCCTTCCAACATCATCGTTTGAAAGTCCTTGAGTCAAGCGGCTGCTTCCTGTTCTGCTTTATGAAAGGTGACCAGGCGGCAACCTCTGGTTCTGCCGAGTGAAGCCGAGGTGGAAGTGACTTAAAACCTGCATTCTCTCTAGTGTCCACCAGGGGGCGACTCCTCTGGTTGTATAGAAGTCTATGAGAAAATTAATCTACTTCTCTCTTGATTTATTACCTCAGTAAACATTGTAAACATGAGTTTATGGTCTCAATCTCTAGTTTCAAGTCTTCTTCAATACAGCATGATGTTGATTTAGTACATTATGGTCCATCTAGAGTCAAACAGACCATAAGGCAGGGCATGCTTTAGGGCGGGGCTACACAGTGATTGACAGGTCTCTACCAGAGACGTATACGGCGTCTCTACATCACTCCTCCTCAGTCCAGATATGGTCACTTCCTGTTCACTGGTTGCAAAAAATACATGATGGCGACGGACGAAATCAAATTCGAGGCTTCAAAACATCAGTCCACAAACCAATGTTGTGTTGCATTGTTCATTCCGTCTCAACTCGACTCGTCTCATCTTTGTGGACTTCCTGCTGATAAACGTAAACATTATGAACGGATCTTAAATGTAGTTTTGGTTTCTTTGAACTAAAACCTTTTTATCTGGAGGAGAAACGTCAGCCCACCAGACTTCACTTCTACAAACTATACACTTTATTTTAAAGTTTCTATTATTTTTATAGCTTTTCTCTGTTTAATAGTACATCCATAAACACACACACACACACACTGTCCTTGTCTTATCTGTCTGTCACACACTGACTGTCTCTATTTCCTTCTCTCTTTCACATAAATACACACACAGCCTCTTATTACCGCCCGCTGTCCGACGTGCATAAAGGCAGAGCTGCTCTGCATGCCTTATCATGCCGTGATTGATGGCTGGCTGTTCTACTCTTATCGATTCTATGCTCTCCATATATTAAACGGAGCCGAAATCGCTGGTGGAATAAGCTGGCTGAAATATACGATCGCTCTCCGATAGCCCGGCTAATCTGCCACCAAACCTAATTCATTCCTAACATGAGCCGGCCCGATCCCGAAGACGCAGACAGTCACGCTGTGTTTTAGTAGTGCTGATAAATGTACTTTATGTTTATTAGCTGTGAGGTATTTTTCACCAGCTTATCTGGAAAATGATGTGGGGGCAGAGTGGGCGCCGAGTCTGTAAAATGACTCAATCAGCCGTGAGATTTGAAGTAATTTACGACGTTTGCGAGGCGGTAATGATGGCAGAATGCAGACAGTCATGTTCTATTTGGATAATAATGATGTATGAATGTGTTTACGGGGGGGGGGGGTGAAGAGATATAGCTGGTGGTTTTGGTTCTCAAAGTGATATTTTATTGTTTATCTGTGAAATGTTACATGTAAAGAACAGTGTTGAAGCAAGGCACTAACGCTGCCAGGGTTGAGGGTTCAACTTCTGAACACCATTAAACTCATAGTCAATCTAACTTTAGTTCATTGTTGTTATTATTATTAAAGCTTTGATTTATGGTACTTTATCATAAGTTTGTGTAATATGAAATATGTAGTGATGATCTATTTTCTTTTTCTAAATTTGTCCCAAACTTCCAGCTGCAGACCCTCAGAGTGTGTGTGTGTGTGTGTGTGTGTGTGTGTGTGTGTGTGTGTGTGTGTCCCATCCGTCTCCACTGTGTGCATCTTGCTCCATAAATATTGGTGGTGTGGAGGTCTGACCTTGTCGGGTGTTGACGGATGCCGTCGCCCGTCCATCCCTCATAGCAGACCGTCTGAGGCAGAGACACGGATCTAACAACAACACGAGACTTGGGGGGGGGGCACACGGTTTTAATTGTTTGTATCAATACATGCTTTTCATCTTTTTAATGATTTATTTAATGATACAAACGGGTGAGATCTGCCTCAGAAATATATTTAGGCTGATCAGAAAACATCACTGACACACACACACGCGCACACACAGAGCAGAGTCTTGAGAGCATTGTGAGAGTGTGTGTGTGTGTGTGTGTGTGTGTGTGTAAGTGAATATGCGTGTGCAGCATTTCCCATGGCAGCACAGCAGGATGTCAGAAGTGGTTAAGTCTTGAGGACTGAGCACCTTGAGGCTTGACACACACACACACACACACACACACACACACGCACACACACACGCGCACACACACACGCACACACACACGGATCAGATCAGAAAGGCTGTACTGTTGTCCACAGATCTGACTGCAGTGTTTTCCAACACCGCCTCAGGCTGCTCTGCGCCTCCATCCATCTGTTTATCATCCATTCATACGTCCATCCATCTATATGGTTTTCCATTATTTTAACTCCTCTTCTCTCTTAGAGAGTGGAGAGAGAGAGAGACAAATATTTTCACAACTCAATCTTCAGATGAATCTTTTTCAAATCAAACCGGAGTCATATCCCTTCTTCCACCTCCTGAAACATCCATCATTTCTGTCAGTAACAGTAACTCTGTGCTCCTCGTGTTAATGATTTGAGAGCAGAGTCGTCCCAGCAGCAGTCACATGATCATCAGACACTGTTCACATTATGAGAACCACTTCATTTAGAGGTCAAAGTTGAAGCGGAAAAGAGTGTGAACTGTGATGGATGTCCAAAGGACAGTTCTAGTTTATGATGTATTGTTCACCGTTGTGTTTAAATGAGCCGGATCTCCTCTGGTGCTGATGAAGATCTTTGTGTGTTTCAGAGCTTCAAGCTAAACGTGGACAGTCACAGCGCTCTGAAGGAGAGCGTCATGGAGGAAGGCCGAGCACTGCTCACCGTCATCACCTCCAGCCAATCGGGTAGGTCCTCACACACACACACACACACACACACACAAGTGGTCATAACGGAGGCCCCCGACTCTGTTCCATTCATTATTAATATTTGGATTAACAGATTGACCTTCAGAGAGGAGAACTGGTTTGAATGTAGCCGAAAGAGATGGACGGAGAGATGAAGACAGAGAACGAGACGGAGAGGCAGATTTAAAGAAAAAAGCCAGCGGGCAAAGAAACTGGCTGGCAGGGAAAATAAATATTCAATATGTTTTATATTTTCAAAATCTTTGCAGCCAGAGAGAGAGAATAAGCAAAAGAAAGAGAAGTTTTTTGCTCCCTTGTTAATTTGATCTCAAACAACAGCTTCATTAAGGTTCAGGAACCTTTGAATCATTATCTTTGCCTCTGACGAGCTAAATGTGTAATCTACACTTCCACTGGAGGTTAAACGTTAATAGCTACACCCACGACAAACTATGCACCCTAATGCGTAGATATCACACAAAGTTATTATTTATGTTGTCCACATAATCGTGAATGAAGAAGTTGACACGTGTTGCTGGACTTTATGAGGAAAACACACAAAAACGTAGCATTTCGTAAAGTATCTTAGGAACCGTTGTGTGAGGGTACGTTGACGTAAACACACGTTGGTAGACGGACTGATTGACCACTTTTACTTATCTTTGAAGTACAGGATGACGGCTGCCTACAAAACCAAAACCGCTAGTCTGAAATCGATTATGACGTATTAAATATGAATGTATAACTTCTTGTAAAGTGCTTTGCAGTAAGTACAGAGAGGCCTCGTTACTCGCTGATCCAGATGGGACCGGTCGGGGGGGGCGTCTTCCACGTGGTCCAGGACGACCTGTTCATTGACTTTGGTGGAAAGTTCCACTCGTAGCCGACACTACGCTGCTGGAGGCCCAGAAGGGAGGCTCGGGAAAACCAGAACCAGGACAGAGCGGGGCAGACTGTCAGACCCTGTTTCAGTCAAATTAGAGGTTTTCTGGCAGCTGCAGATCTTTTCCAACACAAAACACTACAGTATTTGACCACAGGGGCCGCCAAAATCCTCCTAGAATGAAAGTCTCCTCTAAGACGAGCTCGTTTGTAACTACTTTGTCAAATGGTTTTGACGCAAATGTGTCTCTCGTTTCTTTCTCTCTCGGTTTATCCCTCCATCTCTTGCCCTGCAGGTTTGAAGGATATCCTCCATATGGTTTCCAGCCAATGGGATCAGCTCCAGCGGCAGATCCGGCGCCAACATGGCTGGATGCTCCGCGCCCTCCGCTGCATCCAGGCCCGCCTCTTCTACTCCAGCCAATCGCGCGAGCCCTTCGCAGCCTCTTGCGACGTGTTGGCCAATCGGCAGGCTCCGTGCCCTCCGGACAGCCTCAAGGTAAGAAAACAACGGTGTTTTTTATTTTTCTGTTCAGCTCCGAATCTCTCTGTTATTCTGTCCATCTGTTCATTGTTTGTTTTTTACTTTGGTTGATATCCTTCCATTTCCTCTCTGGTTGATCCCGGTTATCCCTCTCTCTTATTCTAACACACACACCACACACACACACACACACACACACACACACACACACACACACACAC